TGAACGAGGATAAAAAAAGGAAAAACAATTATACATTACAAATGTATAATCTTATAGGAAATATTTTATATTGAAATCTTTAACAGTATAAGACACATTTATTTTCAAGAGCATCACATACTTGTGGTAGATTGCAATCCCTTAGAATCTATTTACACATTAAACTCACGTGAAAAATTCCCACTAATGGGGCCCCTCAAAATATAATTTAGGATATTTGCTTGATTATGCAATTAATTATGCAATTAATTATGCAATGAAACCCTAATTACTCAAAAGAATATTCTTACTATTGATTTAGATAATACTGGATTGATTTTTCCTGTGTAACCCTTTTTAAGTCTTTGCAAAAAAAATATAATTTCCATTTTAGAATTTAATCATCCTATAATACAGTTTAAAAGACATAAATGTTTTTATTAATATGATTAATAGAGGTTTCAATGCATTTATTTCCCAAAAGAATTCTATCCGAGTCTATCTCAGAATGAATTAACTTTCAATCAATAATAAATTTCCTATTTATTCTTTAAAACTTGCTTCTAAGTTCAAAAGAATTTTTGTAGAAGCACAAATCTAGTGTAAAATTTTTATATCAATTTCACGTGAACACATCATCAAGGTCAATTTCCATAGTTTTACATAGGAGTTTTTACCATTCCGCATCCCCGTTCATTTTCTGAAAAACATAATCCTTACCACTGAGGTTCATTATACCGTCTTTGAGGTAGAATTTCCATTTGTTTCTACTCCTAGTTATCTGAAAGTTTTATAATAATCATTGAATTAGTTTTGGAAAATGTTCTGTAAGAAATATGAATAACAATATAATGTTATTTTTTAAATAAATAGAGTTCTTATTTTTTGCTACAAATACCTTGTCGTATTGACAAACGACTACATTATCAGTATCAAAAAGATCTGCTGGATCATCATCTGTAACATCATCTTCTGAATTTAATGGCTCCTAAAACAAAGAAATACATTGCTGTAAGAAACTTTTTTAATTGCACTAATAACTTTAATTTTAGTAATTTTCAAATACCTCTTCTCTTGCTGCAGCTTCATCGTTTTCCTCTTCTTCTTTGTCTTCAAGATCTTCTTCTTCATCTTCGTTATCCTCTTCTTCTTCTTCTTCATCATCGTCCGATGAATCTCCAAGTGGACCATCTAATTGTGCTATATTGTTCTATATAAATACATAATAGCAATAATAAGAAATCAATTTTCATTTATGTGAAATACAATACTCTTATAATTTAAAATTAGTATTTTTATTAATTACCTGATTTTGTACAGGTCGCTGAGAGACATTATTTGTACTCTGTGTAACAACCTGAAGTGGCTGATTCACTTGGAGGGGTGGCAATGTTGCTTGACCCTGAAGGGTGGAATTGACATGCTGTTGGAGCAGTGTGGATGCCAAAGTTGCTGGTAATCCCATTGCAGCTGAAATAACTGGACCTGTCAAAATTGTGTGCAACTGGTTGCCTGAGAATAAATGAGATTCCATTAATTACATATTCATAACTAAATTAGCTACATTGTTACATTGTTATTTCAGTGTACCTTGAATTGCTGATGCAGGAACATGTATAGTCAATACTCTTTGTTGACCATCTGGTACACCAGTCTGTGGTGGTAATGTGATCTGAATAGGAACTTGTCGATCCATTACTGCAGACGTAGATGTTACCAATTGTTGTACCGGAGTACTAGTATGTTGTTGCATGACAGCTGTGGTCGAATGAGTTTGGGTTTGCGTTTGCTGTTGTGGTTGTTGTGCCTGTTGTTGTTGTTGCTGCTGCTGCTGTTGTTGTTGTTGTTGTTGCTGTTGCTGCTGAGACGATGGCTGTGCATTTGCATTTCCTCCCGTTTGTTGTACAAAATGATTTCCTACATTTATTCCTGAAACCATATAAATATATATAAATACTGGATTAAACCTTGTTAATAGATTTTTCTTATTCTTGCAGTCTTATTTCGTACCTTTATTGACAGGCACAGTTTTGTGCGTATTTATTTGTGGGACTTGAGGTTCTGGTGGATCTGGATTAAGTTCAACAGCTTTGCTAGACATTAATTTTGTTTCCCATATTTGTTTGAGCTCTAGTAGCACTTGTTCATCTACACCTTCATCTATAAATGATTCCCTTACACCTGATATAACATCCTCTATCACAGTATTGTATAATCTTAGCTGCAACAGTAACATATGTGTCATAACTAAATAAGAAAGATATTACATTACAGTTCTTTACGAACTGCGCAACTAATTACTGCAAT